AACTTCACCCTGGTGCCAATAAATTCCCACAAAGCTTTTTAGTAATCACTTGGTGAAAGTGTTAGCTAACTGCAGTGTGTAGCACACTCTCCACTCATTGGTCAGTCAATGAAACCCTCGCTGATTGGTTGTACGCTAAGCGACAGCGACAAAAGTTGAACATTTTTCAACTTTCATATGTCGCGTCGCATTCTCGCGTGTGTACGTGTACGAGCGCAAAATTTCACATGCACTATTTTCGCCGGTCGCTTAGCTGGAGGAGGGCAAGCGATTGTCGCCTCACCGCACAGGCTCCATAGGAAATGAATGGAGAGCGAGCGACGTCGCCTCCCGTGTGTCGAGCCCTTAAGGCTAGCATTAGCATTGTAAGTAAACATTAGCTTTTCTTTTTTTTTCAGTAAGAGGTTTTTATTTAATAGAAATTTTGGACAAAAAAATCGCAGTAAATTGCCTTGCTTACAGTATCCCAATATATCGGGATATATCGTATCGTGACCCCTCTGTTATGAAATGTATCGCATCGCCAAATTCTTACCGATACACAGCCGTAGTTACAAGCATGTCTGAGTTATTCTTGTGATCTTTTATGGTAATGGTAAATGGCTTGATATAGCACCTTGTCAAGTCCACTTGGTCACACACATTCACACACTGATGATGCTAAGCTACACTGTAGCCACAGCTGCCCTGGGGCACACTGACAGAGGTGGGGCTGCCATGCACCGGCGCCACCGGACCCTCTGACCACAAGTTCCAGTTTATTTATACAGCTCCAAGTCACAACATAAGTTGTCTCAGGATACCGTACATAAAAAGAACAATGTAAAGAAGAAAGCAGCAGATTGTGTTGAATCACTTCATCACAGTCTCCCATCCTGAGCAAACGGTGGAGAGGAAAAACTCCCTGCTAATCAGGAAGAAACCTCCAGCAGAACCAGGCTCAGGGCGGGTGAAGTGTCTTGCCCAAGGACACAACGACTGAAACGGCTGGACATTGCTTTTATTGTGGTGGGAACTGAGTACATATTTCTTTGTCATGTGCAAATGTTGAATTTTGTGTTACCACTATCATAGTTTGTTTCCGTCACGCTTCAGCATTAGCATATATGCTAACTGTATTTTACCTCTCCCTCCAGTTCTCTGAAAATTTGCTCATCTTTCTCATTTTTTGTCAAGATAATTGTCATCTACATCCATAGTTCAAGAATTCACCGACAACACGTCTCTGAAAGCCGTTGTCGTTATCACTGTTGAGTTTTGTTAATAACAGAAGTTTCACAACAACATTAAAGCATTTTGACACAAAACCACCTGCTGAAGCAACCCGTCAGAATAAAAGCTGTAACACGTTTAGTTCAATAATTTGTGGTTTAGTCCCTAAATAACACTGATTTGATTTGCCCCCTACATTGCAGGACATGTGATGCAACAATTGAACACACGTACTGTGCGATGATAATTAAACTACACAATATGCTGCTCTAACACTGACACAACTCAGTCTTTTAATGTGTGTCAGCTGATGCTCTACAGGCTCATTTTTGTTTGTTATAGACCAGGGGTCTGCAACYTTTACCATCAAAACAGCCATTTCTGCTCCTTGTCTCGCTAATAAAATGTGTTCAGAGCCGCAAAATAATCTACAACTGAGATTATCAACTGCTGGTCCGTGGGCCTTTTTCGAGGTCTTTTTGGGAACCTTTACGGTCAGTGGAGGTGACATTATAAAACTAAAAAAATATTATTATTTTATTATTATTATTTATTATTATTATT